CGTTTACAATCTTAATAATTCACTACATGTTTGACGAGCTTGTATTTTTTCAACAAATTATTGTATTTCACTTTCACCCCTCTTATTGTTTTATTTATAACACATGTCACTAACGTAGTAGATTTAAAAACATGGGGTGCCGGTGAGAGAAAGTTCACATTCACATTATGTTATCTATGGTGTTACTGGTCATACTTCTATCATGATTTATATTTCAGTCAGTTTGACAGTGGTTGTCATGACATATACTGATAAAGGTTAATGACAAGACCAGATGGCGAGCTGGTCGAAATCAACCAAAAACATCTTATGACTCTGCAGTTTTTAAGATACAAGACAGTAGCTGTAATTCTAAACCAATGTTGTTTGCGAGTTTAAATAAGGTAGTATCTTGGTGGAATGTTAGTGCGAGATTATTACCCCATCAATATTAGTTAGCGTTGACAATGTATAGAAATGTTTTCTCTAGACAGCTTGACGAGTAATTAATTGATTATGATGTGTAAAACTTTCATGTGATTGGTTGTTTGTTGGAAGGCAAGGCCTTGGAGTCTCTTATACTGATTGTAATTGGTTAAGGGGTGACAAGAAATAAAGATGGATTTAATGCTGTCTCGGGTGAAAAACCAGGGACTTGGCAGAGAATCGTTTTGGGAACATGAACGAAGCTTGTGTGTGTCTTTTGTCAGCCTAGCGTGGAAACGACCGAATCCCGGTTACCTAAGTGAAAGGTTTTTAACCATCAAAAATACCTATCACACTTCTTCACTGCAAACTTAAAAGCAGTTATCCTGAATTGTTCAGTGTGTTGTTAAAAGGATTGAGTTATGTTGAGCAGTAAAACTGCTCCTAGTTTCTGAGTGGTCAGTGTCAAAAAATGATTAAAGTTATATGTTTTGTTGAACGTGGAACTATGCTGAGCATGCCTAGTACAAATTACATCAAAGCAGTCAGTGTATAATAACACCACAGAACATCGGGAAGTTGCTTTGGGCCTACGGGCACTCACAACACCCATCTGTATGTGGTGTTCCCAACACTAATATCATTCGAAATGGTGCTAATTTGGGGAAACATTATGCATGTTGCCAGTAACATCTTAATATATATTGTTATGTAAATATACCAATTAAGAGTACCATCCTGGCGATTTCTTCAATGGACACTATTGATTCGTCTACATTCAAGAAACGTTTTCATGTGAAAAATTTCCCTTTTTGCAACCTAAAATTAAAATCTGACTCGTGAGGTATATATGATTTAGTTATATGTATCCGATTAGAAACTAATACAGATATGTAAGCCCCAAATTACGAGGGAAGACATTAGAGTCAACCAACCGAAGAACCGCTATTTTTATCATAAATATGGATGACAGACGGATGATAGGAATATGACAGTGCAGAACAGTTGTATATCCCATCTTTTCAAGCCTAATTTGGTGTGATGTACTGGTGAGTGAGTAGATGAAAATGGGAGTAGGTTGGATGGAAATTGTGATTTGGTGTTTTCATCAAAACTTAGCAAGGCGAATACGCTTATAATACTATATAAGCATTCGATGTAATTTGTTTTAAGTGTTGGAAGGCGTATTTTTAAGTGACTGCGTTTGTTTTCAATTTGAGAGATTAATTACTTGAATTTTAACCACCGGCTTACCTGTTGCCATAGCAATGTGCTCAATTCGCGAATGGGATGCACATATGATTTACTTGTACCCAATTCTGACGTTAAATCGGAAACGAATTGCGTATCACAAATGGAATTAAAAAAACAAAGTGTAGATTCAATAATTTCCGTCATCGAAGTCCTTCATTATTCGATAAGAAGAGACCGCACACTGTTTATCTGAAATATATACGTCGGGTAACTGTACATTGCAGGAATGGTGTGACCATATGAAACGCAGGATTCGAATTCATGACCACGACACAGTGAGTTTTGTTATAATTTTATTGTTTCTACAAGTATCTTACTTAATATTTATATTAACTCGTTCGTTTATTGCTTTACTACAAATATTATATCATTAGTTACTTTGTTGTTGTAATGACAAATTAAGAAATTCATAGGCATGGAAACACGTTAAAGTACAATCTCACCAAAATTTGTAAAAAAAAAAATATTTGTGGTTAACCATAGTTTTGTCCCGGTAACAATAATGTGGGGGTTGTCTTGGTAATCCCATTATGCAACGGTACAATATTATGATTAAGGTCGCCAATTTAAATATTATTGGTAATTGCGTAATTAATGACAGTATTTCCGGTATTTTGTGTATAACCTTAATATTATAGAAATTGTGTTGACTAAAACGATTAAAACAGAAACGAGCCGTTTAAGGTAGCAGTACAGTGTCGGGTTTGCGCTTGATAACACTCATTTGATCGAACTCCGCTTCTACTCACCCATCTCCACACCACTGCGTTTCAATGTACAGAGGACATGACTACTCTATTTCACTTATTTATATACGACGAAATTGCGGCAGTAGTTATCGAGCTCCGTCAAGCAGTATCCTGGCCGCTGATCTTTCAAGTTGTTCGTATCTTCTGGTCATTACTACATACTATAATACTTTCTAAAGATAATCATAACGTGGCTGCACAAATGCACCTGCTAGACAGTTTGTTATTGATTGAAGGCATAAGAAAGCGATTATGGTCTTTATTATGGTTCCATTATGGGAACCGAGGAGGGTCACGGCCATGTTTTTTCGTATCTTACGCATTCATAATTAAATGTTGTATTTGCATTTTAAAATTATTCTGTTGATTTCACAATTAAAATCGATATAGTTAAAGCGGGGGAGTCGTCACCCGCGCATGCGCCAGATGGCCATAGCGTGTCATTGTTCACAGACAAGCGTCTACCAATAAGCCTTTGCGTTTTTAGCGTGTGTCGCTATCGTCGCTTAGAACTCCGCGCGTGCGACCATCCCGGTTTTGAAAAATTACACTTATCAAAAAACATGGCCGTGACTCTAGTTGGTTGCCATGTCCGATCGAGTATGAATCGAACGCTCACAATTACCGTCAGTCTGCTCACATACGCAAATTTCGAACACGTCACTGACAGCACCTGGTGAAAATTAGCTCTGAAAGCGAAAATTATATTTTTATTGACATTTTTATTCCAGCTTAAAGAAAAATTAATTGTACGATAATAAATACCGGCATATATGTACTGCGATTATTTGGTTTGTGTTTTCATTGGTCGGGTGGACAGTTCAAGGATCAAATAGAGGACAATAACTCTAGTACAATAACATGAAGGTGATTACAATAACGAACATTATTGTAGAACGGCGTATGATAATAGATCATATGTATAACTTATGAAGGACATACACATTCCGCTATTTTCCATGGGTATCACTTTCCTATAACAATGTACGCCATGTTTAAATTTCGTTAAACTGGTTGAAGTTTTCTTCAAATTTATCTACGGTTTACCGTGGGACGTACAAATAGTTACCATACGAATCCCAAATCCCAAATAAACATGTATGAATGCACTCAGCTGGCAACTTGTGTGGTTGAGTGAAAGGATTAACACATTTAACGAATAGAAACAAAAATCAAGAGAATTGTTGTAAGAATTCATATTGTTCAATATTTATTCAATACTCAGCTCAACGGACAGAGAACACAATAACAGACAATAATAAATGGCTACTGGGAATTGATAAAAGGGAAATGAAAATATCCTGCAGACGTCAGTCAGTCGATTAGGGTTTTGAACCAAAACCCGTCCGTAAAAAGAACACCTTAACCACAATAATTACAGTATGAGCACTGGAGAAATTACATTTGTATTTACGGGTATTTAGCATACAGTGGCTATGCAGTTGAAACTATTCAGTGATCTAAATAGGGTTATCATTGTGTTGTAATGTGTTGCTTTTTACTCGAACACTGTTGACTATGTACCTATAGGCTTAGATATTTTAGATGCATACATGGCAAATCCCCCCCCGGGGGGGGGCTACTTCCACATTAAATGGGTAAGGGTGTGAAGCCCACCTCTCGTAAACCATACTCACTTCTAAACCATTTTTTTTTCTATTTATATACCAACTTCTAAACAAAAGTGTTTTTAGCGAAAAAAAACCCAGCTCACAACTTTCGCAACCAGTGAGCGCATCCGGCCGATGCAATTTATTCAGCCTTTTCCGGTATTTGGCCTTGAATATAAGGACCTGTGAAAAATGGAATAAATGCTACACACCTCTAAACCAAACCATTGATAAAAGACCACCAACTTCTAAACAAAATAACGTGAAATGACACCCCAGTCGGGCGGCACATACCCGTATTGCACTTCTATGCAAGTAGCCCCCCCCCCCGGGGGGGCAAATCTCACGTACTAAGCACATTTAAAAAATAAACACGGTATACACAACACAAATCAGTTTATTTACAGCATACAATACTTTGATATATGATATGATATGAAATGGAACATGTCTCAGTATAAATCTCAGTATATATCATTTCTGTTAACTATTTCCAAAAAAATATAAAAACATAATCGGTATTAATAAAAAAAAAACAATTTTTGAATAAGACGCATCACAAGCAAGACACATGAAATATAATTTACATAACATTTTGATTATTAATTCATAAAATAAAACCGCATAATGTTTATAACATGCTCGTCAATAACAGACCCCCTTACATTATTATTTTTTAATCTAACAAAGAAATTATAAAAAAAAATACAAAATTATGGAATAAGTATATTCGGGTTGTTCTCTCGTCTTTATTTATTCAATAATTTGTTACGCAGATCACAGGCAAAAAATAGCAATCATCGAAAATGCGCTACACGATGCAAAAAGGATGCTGTGATTCTTTTTTACAACAATTGGGACCGAGATGTTTATTTATTTTGTCTGGACATGACATTTTCATCGTTAATTTCCAGATTAAGGAAATAATGACGACCAAGCATATGAATATTTTCTTTTTATTTTTAGGCCTGGTTAAACATTGCTACCCAAGGATAGTCTGCGTTCCCTGCGAAACAGACACAGGCTGCGCATTATCATCAGACATTTGGAGCGAGGGTAGCCGTGTCGTTACATCATTATTTCCACCATTGGTACGTTGCTCATTATTACTGACATTCTCTATATTCCGTACGACATTGTCGATGCTATCCATTTCAAGAGCCTGGTTTTCGTACACCGTGCCGTTTCTGTCGGCTCCACTCCCTGTTTCACTGTCTGCCAAAGGCTTAGTTGATATCGATTCGCTCATATACGTGTTTTTTGTCACCTTGCTAGTATTACTCGCCGCCTTTTTCGCCGGGCTCTTTATGCCGCAACTTAAGATGAAGACAAATTCATCGCGAAAATTCTTGTTACAGTAAGCGTAAATCATAGGATTAACAAAGCTGTTTGCCGTGAATGCGAAAGATATGATAGTGTAGATAAAATTGGAATCAGTAAACCAACTTTCATCATAAGCGTAAAGCACTGCATGAACCCGAAAAGGCCCCCAAGACAAAGCATACAATATTACAACGAGAATCAGCATTTTCACAGCCTTCCTTTTACGCCGCCTAGACTCGTCGTTGATCGATGAACCCGAATATAACACATGTATCATTTTCGCATAAAGAAAAATTAAAAGTAACAATGGAAGTAAGTAAATCACAATCATATTGGCTATCATGTATCTACTCTCAATATATACTAACTCATACTGTATATCACATACGTAATATGAGAAGTTCTGCCCGTCTTCCTGCCAACTCTCGAAAACTATCTTGTATGTGACAAATACTTCGCTGTTATACAGAAAAGCCATAACCCATACAATGATTGACATTACTTTCGCCTGTTGCACAGAGATTCTCCTCTGCATTGGCTGAACAATGGCACGATACCGATCAATAGCTATTGCAACTAATGCGAATGTTGTCGCCGTTAAGCAGGTACGGGTGATTACTACAAAACCTCGGCAGAGGTACGTTTCCTTCATTTGTACTCCGCCGACAACTAAATCTACAACTACATACGGGCAATATAACAGTCCAATAAAAAGATCAGAAAAGGCTAATGACACAATCAAAATATTTGTGGCTGAACTGCGTAACTTCTTGTTTCTAAAGACAGCTATGATGACCAGTAGGTTGCCAACGCCGATCAGTATGGCCGAAAGTGCATAAAATATGTAGTATGCTTCACCGGGAACCGGGATATCTTCAAAACACCCATTTAACCCATCACACTCGCCTTCATCGTTGTCTTGGTTGGCTACATAATCACTTTCGTTCTGTGGTATACTTCTGTTACCAAGCATCTGTTTTATATAAAGCAAACATAATCATCCGAGTCAGAATAACAGTATAAGATAAAACATGTCCTTGCCCAGAAGCCTACAGTGTCGCTATTGATGTAACTATACTATAATTCTTATTTAAATTTTCTATATTTAAAAATTGTGTGCAGCAAAATGGCGCGTTGCCATAAAAAGAGGTATTTGCAAGTATTTAACTTTGCAGCGTTGGAGAACATTTGCGTCTGAGTGTCCGTATGTATGAACACTCACTAATAATTTACTTGGTAAAAACACTTTATTTTTATGCATACAAATCATATAATTTCATAATGTCAAAAACGGAAAGTTTTATCATAGTGTTCTGAGATTGAATGTGTACCGTCAACGCCACGTTAGGCCTCAGTGCATTTCAAACCCTTGATATCTCGTGCATAGAGTGATGGCCATTAACAACGGTGGCATATATTGAGTGATAATAGTGATGTGTTTTAAGGGAGAGGGTGTACACATAGAAATTGATGAATCTGTGCCCCCAGTAGTTCATGTACCAATATAGGTGTTATTTATGATCTGAGACAGGTTGAAGTAGAACTGCAATGGATGGTTGATTTTGGTGAAATAGAAAGGGTTGATGAACACAAGGACTTAGTTGGAAAAACAAACGAAAGCTTTAGAAGATATCAACATAGCTTTAAATAAGCTGTAAAACGTAACATTATCAGTTACAAAACGTCAGTTCCAAGTACTGTTACAAATAACTGATGCAACAATCTTCAGCAAACTAGATGCCAAAGGTGTCACGTGGTAAACATGCAAATCCATACATTGCTGAGTAGTGACGTTACAGAGACTAGATAATTATAGATGATGGATTAATGAAACATAATATTTTGACCAAGTATGTCATCTGCGATAATTGACATGATTACAACAGGCATTTCTAAAATATCAAACAACCAAAAGAAACAATTGACGGTTCATAGAGGTTTAGATAAATCATGGCATAAGGTATTCACTGTCTTATATATACTGAATGGAAAACACTACCTCGTAACTTTAGACTAATACTCGTAATAGGTAGAAGGACAACTTCGGAGTGATAGTACTGTAAACTCAGAATAAAATAACAACTAAAATTTCAGTTTTGCTAAATAATAAATAGTGTTCAAGAATGACTCACAGATAGTATCAACCATTGGGAATTTACATATACAGTGTTCAAACGCCCAGTCCCAGATATCCAAAATCTAATTACATAATTGTGAAAGCTGTTGGAACAGTACAATAACTACCGAAGAAAGCAGTGGGGACAAGAAGTACTCAGATCTTCACGACAAAAGATTGTAAAGATCCACTATACCAACAATAATGTGTCTCTTGCAACCAAGAGTAATCCACAAAGTTCCTGAGAGAAATACAAGCTGCACAAACAAGTACTGTCTGAACACTAGTGGTACAGTCTATATCTTAAACTTCTAGACGTATCACGCTGATGGCAACATATCAATAAGTATTCTTTGTCTTATTGATGCACCTCATAGTTAGTGCACTAACTTCTGGACAGCTTGATCCGCCTCATATGTGTGTGTTGTAATCTGTTTGAAATCAGGTCTCAGGTGTTTATTCAAACGTATTTGTTGCTTTGATGGTCAATATATATTTGTTTATTTCTAGTGATGGATTGTTTAGTGCTGAAATCCAATATATATTGGCGCTCTCGCACAGTCACCATGGCTACTTTGTATAGTGTTGTCAGGTCCAGATTCACTTGACTAGCTTTTCACGGACCCTTGATATGCAGTGTATTACTACACACAGTTTCTTCATAAATATAACTGCAATGATGTTGGTTTGCCATAGATAGGTCAACTCTTAAACTATGAGCTTAACATAGTAATTTAGGCAGCATGCTGGCGTGCATAATATACAATGCTATCAGCATTGCAGGAATAATCACGTATATGTTTTGGTAACTTGATAATGTAATGTACGAATCATCTTCATCATTCAGTGATAGGAATCTTTGAGCTAAAGGATTACATGCAATACATCTAAATGATGAAATGCCATGGGTCACGTGGTAGACAAAGGGGCTAATGAATACATATTTGTTTAAACATGAGTCTTAAAACACACATAACAGTATTGCATGGCATGGAAATGCGTGATCATGGTATTGCAAGTGTGCATTCTTTTTGCTATAATATAGCAAGGTTGCATGTCTAGTTTGCTATAGTTCGTACACATTTACTACTAATTCGATATTGTACACTTGAATAAATGAATTTGAATAAATTGGCTGATCACGTGATCTCATTAAATATGCGCTTATTTAATTCCCAGAGATCTATTATAGATATGTATGTACTAACAATTTATTGTGTACAAGGATAAGATTTATATAATCTAGTCACATTACCTCATTAATTATGTGCATATATTAGGGATTTATTATACATTTAGATACACATTTATTTCAAGACATGCACATGATTAACGAGATTTGAATAACATTAGCCGGTCATATGACCCCGTGAAATACAAACATGCCAAGGACATAGAAAATATGTCTACTAATCCCTGGAATGAAAAGATTTGTGTTTTCTGGCATATAGACGTGTCTCTAGTGATCATGATTCAACAACCTGCCAGGCTCTAACTGATTTGTTGCTGCAAAATATTTCTTCACAAACTTAGAAAGTCGGTTTTTTAAATGTCTTACTTTGAGAACTAAATAATTTTGTCATTTTAACACTCAAATTGTAGACTATAAATGGAACCCTGCCATGGATAGTACCTCACTGTAATACATTTACGCATGACTACCTGCTTCTTATGCTTCTAACAAAACATTCCACATAACATTTGTAAAGGCTTATTGTGATTGTTTGACCAACCAACTAAAGGTGGTACGAACCAGTATAGAAAGTTATCTCGAAGGGCACCGTGTTAATAATCGAAACCTGTCAGTAAAATACTATAAGTGCCATGATTAAAAGAAGTTCAACGAGACGCGGCATGGAGTGATTATACATCTTAATATGGCAACCCGAGTCTCGTTGACTATATTCCTTGATTAAGCTGCGGAGTGGGCTCATAACTCCCGAAACGGCAATCCGAGGCTTCCACTGCCGGGCCTAAGTGTATTTATACACTGTACTGGCTTTGTGTACGTACCTTTGTTAGGAAACGGCTTAACCCACTTTAGAGTGACTTGTTTATCTAGCAGTTTGTTCCAACAAGAAATTGAACTATTTACTGCACTTGTTCTACGTCAATCCTGTCACACAGTGTTAATCGTTTCACGGTGAAGAAAGTTGTCAAGTTCAAGAAATGTGTCCCGGTCTGGGTGCTATGACCACCGTGATTCACAAGTTAGTGCTATTATACACATTCGTGTACAGCGTAGTAAGATGGTGTGAACTGTACCATTATATCTAGAGGGGCTCGGATAGTTATGTCTGGAGGGACAAAACAGCTGTCATGGGCTCAGCTTCATCTATACTTTTTGAGTATCCAATAAGTGTACACAAGAAAGAGTGTTTAGTGTCCATGAAGCAATAAAAGCAGACATGAGCTGAATATGCTCCCATTTGGTTAAAAAATTGCTATCTATTCAGTTATAACAATATCTATTATACTAGTCCAGAACAAACCATGATAGAAACAATTTATTAGTATACAAATTAGCTAATTGTAGTGTTGCAAAGATGTACAATGCTAGAACTGAATTTATTATGCAAATTACTTAATTAACATGCAAGGAATAATGAGACTACACGAATTGTAAAAGGTTTCGATTCATTTACCTAAAATGTACAAAAAGCATGTTAAAACCAATCGATTATCCGTTTCAATCCGTTTGAGCAAAATGTTAAGATACAAACAAAACACGATAGAAACGGGTTAATTAGTATGTAAATTAGCTAATTAAACTGAAGAGATTAATTAGAAACTATCGGCAGACAAACAATAATAAAGCAGCCAATATTGTTATACAAAATAAGCAAACTGAAGGTAAGCAATTTGAATGCAAATTAGCTAATAAATATGCTCATATTTATTGTAAGATGTTATTTGATATTGCTCTACACAAACGGCATTCATGTACATGCATATACTTGTAGCAACATTGAGTCTGTAATGATGATATTGTAGCTGTGTTCCAAGCTCAATCAAGTTCTTTATTTTAAAATCAACCAATCTAAGGCAAAACATCTAGTATGAACCAATAATGCATGTTAAATGCAGCACGTGCTGTTGGATTTTAATTTGTCATCAGAATGCCTTTCTGGTATCACTCTCTCTCTATGCTGGTGATGATGTAGCAGCACAGTAGCAGCTTCAATAAAGACAGCTCTTTTATGATGCTTTCGGTGCTATAATGCACTAAACATAGGCCGTGCTATGTTAAAGTTTGCCAGGCCAGTCTTAGTGAAACTATCACTTGTCTTTGGAGTGGAATAGCTTTACGATGTGTGCGCTTTCTGACCTCATGTGCCATATGTCAACCAAATATATTGGTTGGAATGAATGTAACATCACCCTTATGCATATACCCATGATATTCCACCTCACATTATGGAACTAGCTGTCATATACGTCACCCCACATAAACTTTCCTAGAGTTTTCCAATTTGTAAATTCAAATTGGCCTCTTCCGTCTTATCAAAAAAAAGCTGCTTATATTGACTGTAATAGCGTTGCTATCTGTCTTTTTTTGTATGTCCAAGCACATTACTGATTGGATGATAACAAAAAAACAATTGCAGCTGCATTGTGTGCAGCGTATGTTCACTCTATATGACCAGCAAGCTCAACAACGGTTTTTAAGCTTGACATTAAGACATAGAAAGTATGATTAAAAAAACATAGTTTAAATATATAGCTGCTCTTGCTAATTTTACCATGTGTTCCGCAACTAAACACTTCTAGCCATTGGTGATGATCTAGGTATGTGGGGCTGAAACTCAGGCAAATTTCCACAATGAATTATATGTTATATCCACATTTTGCGTAAA